TTATGTATCCACTCTTCTGCGTTGAATGAGCCATCTACCAACTTATTCTGACGTCATTTGACATATGTAATCAGCTGAAAACCTCCATTTTCGACGATTTTCACCTATTTTCTTCACTTTTCACAGCTGCTACTCCCTTTTCCTTGCTCATGTAATATGACATCATCTTCTATAACCTTAAAAATCCCGGAAAATCCTCTTGGCAACCTTATTCATTACTAATACCATTACATATGTAAACTACACGCCTAACCCTTGTTTACCAACTTCGAAAAAGTACCTTTCTGCTAATAACCTCTGTTTCCCCTTATCAACCTTGAATAATAAAATTGTTCCTGTATAATAAACTGTTGTTCTTTCATATTCTAACCTTATAAAACCCATAAACCTAATATTACTACCCTAAAAACCATTTCCAACCTGTATACCTCTATTTTCGAGTTTTTCTTATGTTTTTTTCTTTCTTTCTTTTTGTAATCTGTTCGTTAATAGTTTATACTTATCTTGATAAGTTTGTTTGAATGATAAAATGATGTAAATATTAAACTATATGTAATATAATTGATGTAATTCAAAATTCGATTTTTTTTGATTTTTTTGATTGGTCTCATATTTTGATTACCACAACGGCGGACAGAACAGCCATTACCATTACTTCCAAGCCGCTCAAGAGTAAGAGCAAGTTGAATGATGGGAGCAGGCTGTGGGTTTTGACTAGTCGACATGAAGATACCGTGGCCTTGTATGGCTTCTAGGATGGCGTAGAAGCCAGCGTGAGAAGTTCTCATCAATTGTCGAAACTCGACTTCTCGATCACGAAGCAAGTCATTTAAACTGAAGTCCATTTCAAATGGCATCTTCCACCGTGCATCATGGTAACGGAGGTTTCCCAGGATTTCCAAGAGATCCTCGGCATCGTCGACATCGTTGAAGAGGAGATCGGTCAAGAAGGCTGTCTCGTCATCATCATCAAAAAGAATATCGCCAAACGTCGGAATGATACGTTCACCAAGTATTTCTTCTTCGATCATTTGGTCATCTTCATCTTCTTCGGCTATTTGAAGAAGCTCTTCAGCTGTGTGAATAGTTTTTTTTCTTTGTGATGTTCGAACCATCTGGAAAATCAGTTTGGAACGGTTTTTGAGACCTTTGAAAAGGTTGAGTGGGCATGGATTGGGCTTGATTTACTTGGCCAACAGGTGATATCTCATTACAAGGTTGGTCATAAAAAGCTCGGGTAATCGAAACGGTCAAGTTTCTTGTACGACCACAATTATGCAACGTGGTGGATTTTTACAAACGGTCAGTTTTAAACTTTTACGCTGTCGTATGAAACCAACGCTCGGACCTCAGCGAAGTCATTACGGTCAGCGGTACGGTACGTTACGGTCCGCGCCGTACCGCGTTCCGCCTTTTGACACTACGGTACCACCGTACCGGAATGCCAAGTGTCAGAAACCGGTTACGGTCCCAATTACAATTACGGGTCCACTTCGTTACGGTAAACCGCGACAAAACCCGTTATGACTACGGTTCCATACAGGGTTTTCCCCTTAACCCATTACCTCACACATTTCTGATACCATCCCACAATTTTCTCAACGCAGGGGCCTTCCAAAACCATATTGATCCTTACAAACTCTCAATCATCTCCACCTCAATCCTATTCACGTCGACCGAGACCTGGTTTACCTCATCATTTCATTCAACCTCCACGTTCGAATGGAGCTAGCCAAAGCTCAGATGGACGATCGAGCTCTCGTATCTCTGCTGTCATGTCAAGTCACTCGGGCAAGCAGATTTTTGACCCAACATCTTTCAAAACCTGGCCACCGGACAGATACGGAATCGGAACTGGAACTCATATAATCCCATTTTCTCAGGCCACCGAGAGGCCAGAGCTAGATATGAAGAAGATGATGATGGGTTGTCTGCTACTACTTACAACTACCCGCAATCAATCGTTCTCTTTTCGAATTGGTTTTCTCGTTTCTTGTTAACTTCTTTAATCAACAACATGAAGAAAAAATTGGTATTTTCGTGCTTTTTATGATATTCTTCTGTTTTGTGGCCTTTCTTTCTCATCTTTTGATGTTTTCTTATCTATTTTCTCTCAAGAGTATTGCTATTATTTTACTTCTTTTCTTG